TTTTTTCAACATAATTAGTATGTACAGTTTTATTCATAAACAATTATAAAGTGGATTATTAGTCATGTATAATTCATAAAAAAGAAAATAACATAAACATTTTATTAAACAAACCGATTACCTAAATTTGAATTTATTGTTAAATTTTTTTAAAAATGTTTCAAAATTAATTCCTACATCCATTACAACCATTTGGAGATCTTTCCAAATTCAACATCTGTCATTATATACAATCCAATTAAAAACTGTTTCCATATTGATTCCTACATTAATATACAAAATGCAATAATGGCTTAGTTGGGGGTATTTTTGGAATCTGAAAAGTACAATAAATCAGATTTTATGCTTAATTAGGTAACTTGCTGAGTTGGATCCTAGTCATGGGTTTTTACTTATACAAATTGGGTATTATTTATAGGAACAAAAAGTGAAGGGTTTTAGATACGGCAAATTGAATTTGAAGGGTGTAAGCCAAATTTACTAATTTGAAAAAGATGGTTATAATTTGATATTTGCATGGCCCAGCATATACAAAATATGCATGTCATCTATCATCTGACAACATCCCAAATCTATTCGGATGTGTCTGAAAGATGAGAGAAACTCTCATATAACATGGATAATATTTTTTGCTATTTTTAGTCAATAATATTATGACACGTAATATAATTTTTCTATATGTCATTATGTTATTAGTTGGAGATAGCAAAACAGTGTTATCCCCGTTACATGTAAATTTTTTTGCTTATGGGAAGTAAAATCTTCTTCTCTCATCAGTTTGGTCGACCCTTTTAATTAATTTATTTTCGGGAGTTTTTAGTAGGTGGTCCATTTGATAAGCATCCAGATATGTAGTGCTCGCGGTTAGTTGACTTTTTTGTAATGGCCTTGTGGTTAGTAATTTTTTTAGCTGAATTATAAATGCAATTCAAGAATTTCTAAATAAAAAAAGAAGAGATATGTAGTGCTTGCAGTTTACCAACTTGGTGTGCTTAAAGACCTTATAATCAATTTCATATTATGCCCCCAATTTTGCAGTTTAATTTCAACATTTTGCAGATACCTTTATATTAAATAGTTGACATTTTATTTTTTGTACAGAATAAATAATGGTTGACATTGTTGGCACCAATTTTAAATTAAGTCAGCGATTGAAGAACAAAATATTATATACTTTGACTTTAACATGTATCCTCCTTAACCAGCCAAGAGGCAAATTTAATAAATTATATGTTTGGCTGGTTCAGGAATTAGAAGTCAAAAGGCAAATTTTAGTTATATTTATAAATATAACTAAAATTTGCCATTTTGACTTTTAATTCCTCTGTCATCAGGCAAGCAAAGATTCAGAAATGTTTCCCGACATCTTTTCATTCCGCCGTATTCCATCCATTGCTGGGTTGCTGGGTTCAGCCTAGGGGTGGGCATCTTAAACCGAAATACCGAAATCGTACCCTAACCGCACCGTACCATACCGATTTCATACCGTTTTATTTGGTATGAGGAGATATTCGGTATCGTACCGTACCGTACCAATAGAATATGGTATGGTAGTGGTATCAAGATTTTGGTACCGGTCAATACCGTACCGTACCGAATAGTATAACTTTATGTTTTTGTCATTTATGTTTGGATTGTGTTTGTATTTTTGTAAGTCATAAGGCATAATTTTAACTATTTTGGTTTGTAAGTCATAAGGCATGAGTTTAAATCATTTGGATTTGATGAATCTGTTGATGGATAAATATTGATTTAGTTGATTTGGATATTGAATATGTTGATGGATATTGAATATGTTGATTAGGATTTGGATATTGAATTTGTTGATTGATATTGAATATATTGATTAGGATTTGGATATTGAATATGTTGAATCTTTGAATTTGTAACTTAGGCATCACTTATTTTGGTGTTGAATATTGAATTGATTCATTTTTTAGTTGTATCATTTTGGTACCGAAATGGTACCGATACCGTACCGATACCGATTTGGCACGGTACGGTACGGTATTAATTTTGGCAAACCATAATCCCATACCGTACCATATCGATTTAAATTTCCGGTATCGGTAGCGGTACGGGCTCAATACCGTACCGTACCGTACCGTGCCCACCCCTAGTTCAGCCCATAGGAAAAAAATACAAACAAACAAAGAAA